GAGGAGGGAGGAGGAGGAGGAGGAGGAGGAAGAGGGAGGAGGAGGAGGAGGGGTAAGAGCGGGAGCAGGAGCAGGAGGAGGAGAGCGAGTAGGAAGTGCACGGCCGCCACATGTGACACAAGGAGCTCTCATGAAACTCGTTTGGGCTGCCGTGGGGCTGCCTTGGCCTCCCGTGAGGCTGTTTTAGGGGCATTCGGCCGTCTTCGGGCCCTCTTAGGCCGTGTTGGGGCTCCTTTGGGTTGTGTTGGAGTCCTCTTGGCCGTATAGTGGGTGTCTTTGGGGCCGCCATAATGCCGTCTTGGCGCCGTCTTGGGCCATCGAAGGGCCTTCCAAGGCCTTCTTGTGTCCCGCGGGAGGTTCTCTTAGGCCGTGTTGGGGCCGTCTTTGTTCGCTCTTGGGCCATCTTGGGGCCCTTGGGTCATATTGGGACCCTCTTCGGGGCCTCTTTGGCTGTCTTGTGTGGAGGCTTCTTGGGCCGTCTCGAGCTGACTTAAGCTCGAAAAGGCGAGAATGCGAACATCATGTAACAATTTCAAACGCTTCGCGTGTCCCCCACCAGCCCATCCAGCGACCATATTCTCGATTAATGTTTGTGTTGTCCCACACTGGGTTACATCGATTGGTGTGGTCTGGTCACATGCGGCCTAATCAATCTTTAGCGGGTATTACTCGGACAAGCGAGAGTAGGAACCGCGGGAGGAGCGGGCGAGCACACACGCACACACCCATGCGCATCGTGGCACCAGTATTGGGAGGCTCTCGCCAGCCTCTCGGGGCCCTCTTCGGAGGTTTTCTTTGGGCCTTCTTATCCAGTCAGGCGTTCTTGACTGCTTATTGGGGCTTCTTGCAGTGTCCTGGGGGCACGCGGGCCAAGTGTGGGACTTCTTGACGTGTCCTGGGGGCCACGCGGGCCAAGTTTGGGGTGTCCTGGGCTTGACTTGGAGGCCTCCCGGGCCACATTCAGAGCTTCTTGATCACAGTATTGGCAAGCGGTCAGAGACGGTCGCCATTGGGGGGCGCCTTTTGGAGGCCAACAAAAGCTCATGCACTGTGCTTTTTGGTGGTGATTGCACATCGACGATTTCTTCGTAGTTGCGAAAAATGATGCCTCGAAGCCCAGTGATTCGCCGACGTTGGGACAGTGGGTGGGGGGGAGGCGGTAATTAGGGGGAGGGGGCCCACCTTTGCTCCACCTACAGCCCAATGCGTTGATTGGATGTATGCTGCCTGGGCTTTGTAGTTTAGCCGAACTTTGTTTTCGCTGGACTTTGATTTCGGCGATCGTTCTAACATGTTTTCGTCTTCGCGTGTCAGCCCTGATTAGGCTCAGTAGATCCATGGTGGCAACGTGCGGAAGCAACGTTACGATGCTTTGTTTGGCAGTATGGTTGCATGGTTGTTACGTTGCCTCTTGGGGTGGCTTTTCAACGGAGTTCTGCGGGGCCTTCTCGGGAGATGCGTGGGGCCTCCTGGAGGGCCTCTCGTGGGCCCACGGGGGTCTTGGGGCGGTCGTATTGGTTTCCTCAAGAGGCTCGTCGAAACAGCTTGAGGCTACCTGTTCGGCTCCCATGTTCGTCTTCGGTTTTTTCTTTCTTCGGTCGTGGGCTGGAGTCCAGCCTCCGCTCCGAGCAATCAACTGCAGCGGCGGGCCGCAAGCGCGGCGAGGGGGGCCGAGAGGGCCCGAGATGGCAACTCAAGCTTGCAGGCTTGCGAGCCAATGATGAATATTACGTTGCATCTTTGGGGGACCTCGCCTGTCCCCAGAATTGGTGCCTTTTCTTGTGCTCGACGCGGGCTTGATGCGGACTCGATGCGGATTTGGCGTGGATTCGACGCGGATTCGCCACGGATTCGACACGGATCCGACGAGTCCGACATGGATTCGACACGCATTCGACGCGGATAGGGCCGCGACGGGACAGCGAAGGTCCCCTGAGGATGCAACACCCATGAAGAAACGTTCGAAGTTTCTGCAGTCGTTCGGCCCCAGGTCTGGGGCACAGCTTCGCGGGGCGCTCAAGGACGCGGCCAGCTCCGCGCGGAGACCGCATCGTCGCCGTCCGTTTGCGACCCCTCCTGCGGCGGTCTTGGGACTCTCGGGTAAGTCTCGTACCGCAGGGGGTCTCTCCTGTACGTGGTCTTCGTAGCAGTATCCAAGGCCGTGTTCGGGCTCTCGGGAGCCTTCCTGAGGCATCCCAAGCCGATTCGATGCGGAAGCAAACGCAGCTGATGCATATCATGTGTGATCTCTTGGGTGTCGAAGAGTCTTGTTGGAGGGCTCCTCGGGCGGCCTCTTGTGTGGCTGTCCCTCTTGGGCTTCTTCGGGATATCCTGGGGCGTCTGGGAAGGCGTTGGGTCATCTCGCGCAGATCTTTGAGCACCTCGCAGCCGTCTTTCCGGGCGTCCTGCGGCCGAGAACAGCGCCCTTCACAAGAGACATGGGGTACGCGGTTTTCGCACGGATGCGCAGAGTACTCTGACTACCTCAATCGTTTTGGGGTGACCAATAGTCCAGGGGGGCCCTGTAGTCAGGGGCGGGGGCCCCTGTAGTCCAGGGCGCGGTTCTGGGGGGGTCTTGTAGTTCCAGCGGGGAGGGGTGGATGGGGGGGGAGGCCCTTGTGGTCCGGGGGAAAAAAGTGTTTTTTTTTGCCCTGAAGTCCGGGGGGGTTCCTGTAGTTAGGGGGGGTGGGGACTTTATGATCTTCGCGGGGCGACGTCCCGCTCGACGACCGCGGATATGCGCCTGGCAGTGCACAGGGCCAGGCAAAGTGGCTACAGTTGCGCGCGTGGCAGGAAGTATTTTAGTGGGAGGGCCTAGTGGGAGGGCCACGAAACGCTGCCATCTGCGCGGCACACCAATTCGTTGGGCACATCAGGGGCGCAGCTGATTGGCGGGGGGGGGGTGCGCGCTGGCCGCTCTGACCTGCGCAAGGCAAGGGAGTCGCGTCGTTCTTCGCGTGGCGCTGGCCCGCTGGACAGCCAGGGGTGCAGCGAAGAGGCGTCAGGGCAAGGGAGAGGAATCGAGGAAAAACGAGAAAAACGAAAGGGGGCGGGAAGGGGAAGGGAGCAACAAGGAGGCGAGGAGCCCTTCTCCGAGACGACGGCCCCGGCATCTGTCACCAGCAACCCGTAGCACCTCTTGTGTTGGGCGGGGGTGACTGCAGTCTGGGAGGGGGGGGGTCCTTGTAGTCTGGGGCTGGGTCCCGGTAGTCCGGGGGGGGGGGGCCCTTGTAGTCCAGGGGGGTGGTCCTTGTCGTCGCGGGGGTGGTCCCTGTAGTCCGGGGGGGGGGGGGGGGCCCTTGGAGTCTCGGGGAGGGGCCCTTGTACTTCGGGGGGGGGCCCTTGTAGTCCGGGGGCCCAGAACTATTGAGGTATTCAGAATATGGGGGGCAGGGGTCATCTTGGGAGCATACCTGATCCAGGCTTGGCCTGACGGCTAACGGCATTCTAACACGCCCCAAAGCGCCGACGGCGCGGTGGCGGGCATACCGTACGCATGAGTGGTTTTCGTTGCCTTGGAAGGGGGATTGCTTGCGGCTGACGTGTCCTCGCTGGGCAGCGACGGTGAGGTGGCTGATACAAGGGAATGTGATGACTCGTTGACCATGCGGGCGAGACCGAAACCGATCTTGATTCGCCTGTTGGGGGTGCTCCGCTCTCACCCCCCCAACGTCCGATACACATGTGCACGCGCGCGTGGCAATCCTTTGGGGGTCGACGCTGGGGTATTTCGAATTGTCGTATAGGACGTAGGGTCTCCGCACGAGACTCACACTCTTGCCGCTTCTGCTGCTGTGAGCTCTGTGAAATTAGCCTCGCTCTGTGGACATTTGTTTTTGAAGGGGTTGGCGTCAAGGCGTTGGACCGTGGATCTGGAAGCGTAAGTGATGGCACGCAGGAAAACAGGCAGCGTCTGTCGCTCGACTCTTGTGTTACCCATCACGGCAGAATTGGCTCAGGCTGGCCGCTCAGCAGCGGAGCATCCACGCCTGCGGCGGCTCAACGCCCCCAAAGGGCGCTTCTTCCCCAGCGCCCCTGCGACCCATCATGCTCTCTACTCATGGGGAGGCCAGCGATCGGGTTGTTTTTGGCGTGGGTTTCGTCTACCTGCTGGTGGGCGGTGGTTTGGCGCTTTGGCGGTGCCGGCGGTGCGGCTTGTGTGGCGGGCTGGCAAGTAGGTTGTTGCAGTGCTCTGCGGTGTCACTGATGCGGGGCCGAAGTAACCAAGAGCCAAGTGTCGACGACGAGGTCCTGGACCCTTTGGCGCAGCAGATGCTGGAGGAGGTCCAGAGAAGAAAGCTGTCCCAGGTCAAATGGTGTCTGCCTTATGCGCATTGTGCAAGCTTGTTCGTCATTGCGTCTATATGGTTCGGGGGCACCTTGCCTACGACGCTTGTGCAGAATTGCTGCTCACTTTGTAATTCCATACTGATCACAACCGCGTGGATGGTTCCCTCCACTGTGACACGAGGTTCGGTCGACTGGGTATATTCGGCATTGATGGCCATCCTGAGCGTCACGATGTGTCCACTTGCCATCTCTGGTGATGCAGTTTTCGAGTATGGCATCGGAACCTGGGTCGTTGGTATGGGATTCAGTTTCGTCAACTTGAAGCCATGTCTGAATGCGGTATGGATACTATGCATCTACGTCTGTGCTTGCCTCACTCTGGTTGTCGGGGAGCGAAGCGCTGGTCAGGATTCCACTGCAGACCCTTTGAGGGAGGCAGCGCAGCTTGCCTCAGTGTCTATCGTCTCCGTGATCTCCCTGGTGGCGATCGATCGGCTGCTGCAGCAGATGACGCGGCTAGAGCTCGAGGCGCAGTCGTCTCGCAACGAGCTGGCCGCCGCCCAGTCCGTGCTCCGGAACGTCTGCGACGTGGTCGTGGAGGTGGACGACGCGCTCCTCCTTAGAGAGGACTCGCCAGAGTTGCGCGACATGCTGTTCCTGAGCCAACACCGGTCCCTGCGGCAGGAGGACCTGTGCGGCTTCCTGGCGTCCGCCGAGGACGCCGCGAAGTTCCGCGAGCTGGTGCGGGGCGCCGTGAACACGGTACCACCCGGAGGCGGGCAGTTGAGCTGTGCCTTCCACGTGCGCATGAAGGACAGCGCTGGGATCATGCTGGAGGTGGAGGTGTCGAGTGCTGTCTGGGAGCCCCTGGCAAACGACCGACCCCAGTTCTTCCAGGGAGGTCTGGGTGGCCTCCAGAGGCCCCGCGAGGCTCAGAGGGCCCGTGGGGGTCTACAGTGGCGCGGAAAGCTGTGGGCACCTTCCCAGATGTCCGACGTCGCCGGCAAAGAATGCAGCATCGCAGACAACCACGGCCCGAGCCCTGGGCTCCATCTTTTCGGGGCACAGATCGATCTGTGATGGCCTGGGTCCCGAAGCCTGGCGATGCCTGGACCTCGGGGTTGGGCCAGGATCTCGCCTCTGACAGCCTCTGGAGGTGTGCGTGGTGCGGTTCGTGAACCGAGGGGGTCAGCAGGCATCGGGCCGCGGGCTGAACGGTATTTGGCGACTTCGTGGGCCGTTTTTGGTGTGTTTCGCTCTGCGGCGAAGGCAGAACGTAGACAGAACGAGAGAAAGCGAAAATTATCCTGGCGACGGACCCAATCATATGCAGTTGTGAGTGCCGCGTTGTGGGTCCCGCTTTCGGTGGAGCGCCCTATAGGGCCACGAACCGTGTGATGGGTGTGCCAAAATGGGCATCGGGCGCATGCGATCCCTGCCGCTGGTGTCTTTGGTGGAGCGCCCTATGGGGCCATGAACCGTTTGAGGGTCGTGCCAAAATGGGCGTCGGGCGCATGCGATCCCTGCCGCTGGTGTCTTCGGTGGAGCGCCCTGTGGGGCCACGAGCCGTGTGAGGGTCGTGCCAAAATGGGCATCGGGCGCATGCGATCTCTGCCACGGGGGCCTTCGGCGGAGCTCCCTATGGGGCCACGAACCGTGCGATGGGTGTGCCACAATGGGCGTCGGGCCCACGCGCACCCTGCCCCTGGTGCCTTTGGTGGAGCTCCCTATGGGGCCACGAACCGTGTGGGGGTTTGTGCCAAGATGTGCGTCGGGTGCACGCGCACCCTGCCACGGGCGCTTTCGGTGGAGCTCCCTATGGGGCCACGAACCGTGCGGGGGTTTGTGCCAAGATGTGCGTCGGGTGCACGCGCACCCTGCTCCTGGAGCCTTCGGTGGAGCTTCTCATGGGGCCAACGACCGTGTGAGGGGGACATGTGGAAAGCGGAGGCAGAGATGGAAGGCGGGAGGAGGGAGAGGAGACGGATGAAGGAGTGAGGGAGCGGGGCGCTGTCTCCTCAAAACCAGAACCCAACACCACAGGATGGTTGGGAACAAACTTATCCTGGCGAATGACCCCACCATGTAAAGTTGTGAATACCGCGTTGTGGGCGCCGCTTTCGGTGGAGCTCCCTATGGGGCTACGAACCGTGTGAGAGGCGTGCCAAACTGGGCGTCGGGCGCACGTAAACCCGGCCACTGGTGCCTTCGGTGGAGCGCCCTATGCGGCCACGAACCGTGTGAGGAGTGTACCAACATGGGTCTCGGGCGCATGCGATCCCTGCCGCTGGTGTCTTCGGTGGAGCTCCGTGTGGGGTCACGAACCGTGTGAGGGTTGTGCCAAAATGGGCGTCGGGCGCATGCGAGCCTTGCCACTGGGGTCTTCGATGGCGCTACCAATGGGGCCACGAGCCGTGTGAGGGTTGTGCCACAATGGGCATTCGGACGCATGCGAACCTTGCCACTGATGCCTTCGCCGTGTGAGGGGGGTGCCAAAATGGGCCTCGCTTCGAGGCCCGCGGGGCTTATATCTACTTAGCCTCACTGGTAACTATGCTGTACGTGAGTTATAAGTATGCTATAAGCCAAGTGTATCCAGTTATAGTTGTCTATGTACCTAACAGTTTTCTAGAAACAAGCTCTTGATTTAGGTGGACATACATATGACAGTTAGTAAGTTCGCTAACTTTAACTGGCGTTCCCAAGTCGCAATGTTAGCATTGATTTTCGTGTGCGTGCATGCTCATATTTTCCCATCTCCCGCTCAGGATTGCGAGGTTTCATCTCGCATGCAAAAGGTTTGGAATCCCCACTTGTGCGTACAACTGCGGAGCGATGTTGCGTCCACAAGTCATGCTGTTGCTATCCGTGGACGTTGTGGCTCAAACAAAGGTAGGTTGTATTTTCGTGTAAGGTGCACCTTCTATCATTGTTTCCCTTAGGCCCTAGTGGGCCCTGTGTGTGTGTGTTCCCTCTCGTCTCTATGTATCTTCTCCGTAGCCGTTAGGCTTTGCGCGAGCGAGCATGTTGTTGGTCGCAGTTCCTTGGTATCAGAAAGTGCCCCTCTTCTCATCGTTATCTTTGGGCTCCCAGCGCCATTCGTTCTACAGTCTGTGACAGTGGTAAGCGGAGCGATGCCCGAGAGATTGATTGAGCCAGAAGGGGATCGAGGCACCGAGGACCTCGACGACCAGCGCAGTCCCGCAGAGCGCAACACCACCGACACTCCAGAAGAACAGTCGCCATCAGCAGGTACTCCAGGATCGTGGGAATGGGTTCCGACAAGCTGGAAAGATTGGTGGCAGAGTTCTCCGGGCTGGAAAGGAGGTTGGGACGACACAGGAGGTGACAGTTCTTGGAGCAAGTGGAAAGGAGGTTGGGACGACGAATACGGAGACAGTTCTTGGAGCAGGAGTTGGTCTGCGCCAAATCGTGATTTCGGCTCTCCTCCACCGTGGCTGGGAATAGATAATCTTGACACCTGGAGACATAACGTTCTCGCGTGGACCAAAAGAACGGGATTTAGGGCCGAAACCCAGGCGAGCAGAATACTAGAAGGACTTCCTGTGGATCTGCAGACAAAATTTCGGACTATTCGAGCCTCGTTAGATGAAGAAGACGGAGTCCAGAAGCTGCTCAACCACCTGGGTCTCCTCAGCGGCGAACGTCCCGGGGATCGCGAGAGGCAAGCCCAGAATACAGCTCTCTTCAATTACATGCTGAAGAAAGGAGAAAGTCTGACAGAGTATGTTTTGAGACGAGATGCAGAAATCGGCGAAGCTGAACGGTTCTCTCTGGTTCTTCCCGACGAGATCAAGGCGAGGTACCTGGAGGAGGGAGCCTGTCTTAGCATGCAGAAGAGGATAAATATGCGTACGCTTGCAGGAGGACTCTCAGATTTCGCTTCGATACGTGCTGCCATTCTGAAACTTGACGTGAAGGAGACTTTCTCAGTGCTCCCAACTTCACATGCTCCGGTCAAGACGTTCGTGAATGATTCCGAAGAGGCCTCATCGTCAAGTCAGGTACCGCCCCCACCGCAGCCGTGGACTTCACAACAAGATGATGAACGAGAAGTGTTTCTGACGGACATTGATGACTCAATCGAGCTTCCCGAGGAAGACGCCGAGGGCTTTCTGGCAGCATTGGAGGACCAAGACCTGGGCGCGAACGAGGTACTCCAGATCTTCGGCGCCGTGATCGAGGACCGCTTGGGCAAAGAAAAGCGCCGGACCTGGGCAGAGGCCAGAAAGATGAAGGCGGCCAAACGAGTAGACCGGGACTTTTTCGATAGGAGACGTTCGACAAAGCCTGGATTTCGCCGCGTGATGATGTCCGACATCAAACGGAAGACGAGGTGTGCCAATTGCGGTGACCGAGGCCATTGGGCCGAGGCCTGCAAGAACCCCTTTCGATCGAAAGCTGACAGGATGGCCGCCGAGAAGACCAGGAAGACCGACGCCCCCAAGAGCTTCTTCATCGACCTGTTGCCGGAGTCTGAGAACTTCATCAGCGTATCTGATTGGAACGGCCCGCTGAGGGCATGCCAGCTGAAACAGTCAGAGTTATCGCTACGACAGATGGGGGACCACGCGTTAGTCGACACAGCAGCCGGCCAAGCTCTTATCGGCAAGGACGATCTCTCGGTGATGAAGGAGGTTTTCGAGCGTCGTGGTTTTCGCATTCTGGTGAAGGAGGGAACGATCCCGGGAATCGCGGCGAGTGGCATCGGAGGTCGTGTGGAGCCCGTGGCCAGAGCGTGGGTTCCAGTCAGCCTCTGGCGTTGCGGAATCGTTGAGTTTCTCGTACTACCTCATCGGTGCCCTCCTCTTCTACCCGCACGGTTGTTAGAAGCGATGAAGGCAGTGATCGACCACGGAAACGACGAGATGATTCTCGGTGACTTCGAGAAGGTCACACGTCCACTTGTACGCCACACGGCCGGTCACCGGTCAGTCGGACTCATCCACTGCGACCCCGAGGACTTCAAGATCGCGGACGAGATCTACCAGAGGATGCCGGAGGACGTGCGTCAGGACATGAGGGAGGGTTGGGCAGTAGGCAGTGACAGTCGACAGGCCCTGTCTCAGTCTCTCTCCTTCGGTGTTGGGAGTATGTTCGGGTCCCGGGGAACAGCGGTCCAAGGATCAGGGTCGACCTCCGGAGGCGTTTTGGCTCAAAGCTCAGCTAGCAGGATTGGTTTTACACGTGTCCGTGATGGTGAAGAAAAGTCTTTCGCTGAAGACCTCGGTTCCGAAGCCCAGGAGAAGGGCAGCAGCGCAGCTCGGCTTTATCCACGAGGATGTGGAGTTCGACGACTGGGGGGAGGTCCCGGAGGAGCTGCAGGGGATCAATCTCGCCGAGGAGGAAATGGGCGATCAGGGCCGGGAGGAGTTCAATCTCGGCATCCTGCTACTCACGCCGGTTCTGATGCGCTGGAGGCGGTGTGCTCTTCGGCTCCTTCACATCGCGTCGACTTGCCTCAGGATCCACGGGGTGGCGACGATGTGGCCGCAAGCAGTGGAGATGAAGTTCGACTGCCAGGAGACTTGCCCGCGTCCACCGTGGGCCGTCGAAGAAGGGAGGAACGCAACAAGTGTATATTCGCACTGTCGGATGTGCAAGACGCGCCTCTCATTGCGCGACAAGACCCCTCAGGAGAAAGCCGCAGCACAGGCCAAGAAGTACGCGAAGGAGGTGAAGCGCGAGGCCGACCTGAAGATGAAGCAGGAGTGCAAGGAGATGGTCGAAGACTACTCGGGCCCTCCAGGGGATCCCTGGTTGGCGGAACCTGTTCCTCACGATCCTCCCCGCCCGAGAGCTCCGGGAGCTCGTCCGAAGTCGTCTGCGGCCAGCGGGTCGGGCGATATGACTCTGGAGCAGGCGCGTCTGCGTGTTCAACGGCGCGGAGGTTCTCTGGAGCCGTCGCAGATTCAGCACGGGATCCCACCGACGCTCGTCAAGGCACCGCCGGCAGCCCTCAAGTCCAGGCCACCAATTTCTCGGAGGGACCTTCACGAGCAGAAGATGAAGACGCTTCTCGATCAGATGCACATCATGGCCGAACAGCTGTCGTCAGCGCAGGAGAACCTGGTTGCACACCCGGCAGCAGCCGCACCAGCACCGCTGACGGACCGGGACATCATGAAGATCGCGATGGCAATCAGGGCAGCCGACGGAATTCAGCAGGCGCAC